ACCCAAATTGTCAATATCCTTACAGAAGCACTTTTTTAGAAAAAGTCAGTGGAAGCTGGTACCATCCCAGTGAGTCAGCTTCCCCCTACTCAAGGACTTTACAGGGTTTCCTAACCCTAGGTGATATCTTATAGAGACAGTGACTGCCCTAACAGGAGGAAAGACGTACCACTCTGCAGCGGAAGCAAACATCCGACTGAGCACACTCTAGCTGTACTGTCTTCCTCCATGCCCTGGCACCCCAGGGGAAACCCACAACCACAGAAAAAACAACTCAGACACTGCAGCGCATGCCTCTCTGCAGGTGGCTTTCCACAGGCAGGTCCTCAGCAGTGTGCTGTAGCCTGGGACATCCCAGACCTGCCCCAAGGACCGTGACCTTCGCTAACATTCACTGAAGTCTTCCAACCCATGTCCCTAACTTCCCTCACCAACACTAATCAGCTGGCTATTTAGGGACACCTGGAAGACGGTCAGCATGTCCCTATGAACTTCTTAAAGCCCTGGGGACAGAGCATCCATCTCCCCGCGGTAGCGGTAGGAGTTGTCAGAGTTCCATGACAGCCCCACAGGTGGTACCTGATTCTCCCTCAGGGTGGCATCACCGTCCATGTTTAGGGCTTTCCGGTTCATTTGAAAGCAACACTTATTGGTTCATACCATCATCATGGGCAGGAAGTGTTACTTTCAGGAAGAGAGGTCTGTCACATGACCTCAGCACCCAGAACAGAAGCAAATTCTGGTTAGGTCTCTTCCGGGCCTCGGCACGCTTAGCAACATCTGTGGTCACACTATCAGGAACTATGTAGGCCTCAAGTTACAGGACAGCTCCTTTGTCCTGGTACTTGGGAAGGCACCCCAAGTGCTCTTAAAAGACCTGACCCCTGAAAAAGTCCTAAGAGTCTCTTGAGGGTTAGTACATTGCCAGAATGTACTACAGGAACAACAGGAAATGGCTTCTTTTCATCATTGGCCAAAATGAATTCAATATTCATCATGACTCATTTTCCTAGACAAAGAATTCATTATAAATATGTAAAAATTGTAAGGAAATGTTATCACCTATAATACATTCAGGAAGAATACTTAAAAATTAACATGTAAAGAGCACCATAGGAAATGGATGCTGCTTTAGCTTGCTTTGTTACTGCCATGATAAACACCATGACCAAAAGTACCTAGGGAGGCAAGGGTTTATTTGGCTTTCACATCCCGATCATGGTCCCTCATAAAGGGAAGTCAGGGCAGGGGCTCAAACGGGAACTAAAGCAGAAACCAAGGAGGAACATTGCTTGCCAGCTCACTCACTGGCTCATGCTCAAGGCCGCCTACTTAGGGATGGTGCTACCTACAGTGGTCTGAGGTCTCCTACATCAACTGATAATCAATAGAAGTCCCCCACTGACATGACCACAGGCCCATCTGCATGAGGAATCCTCCGGATAACTCTGGCCTGTGTCAAGTGGACAACTGAAGCTATTAGGAGACGTCAAGCACAACCAGGAAAGAATCAAAGTATCTAATTAATTCCATTTTAATCATCATGCAAAGGGACCGTACTCTAGAAATTCCAGAGAAAAATTAAGTTAAAATGCCATTGCATTCTTGCCTAACTAAAAGTTGGAAGGATCATTAGTGTCCAGGAGAAAGTGGCTTCCTCACAAACCTCAGATAAGCATGGCTGTGGGATGCTTTGAGGACTATCTGACATTTTCTATTGTTGTTTGACAATGTGTGTAGTGGACAAAGGGTCTGCTTTTAGGAGACGATGTACAGAAACCCTGGTGAGACAAAGTGCACGAGTTAGGTGCTGGAGAGAGGGCTCAGTGGTTAAGAGCACTTGTTGCTCTTCCAGAGGACCCGAGTTCAGTTCCCAGCATCCACATGGCCCTTCACAACTGACTGAAACTTCAGCTCCAGGAGATCACACACCCTCTTCTGGCCTAAACAAGCACTTGCACACACATGGTACAAACACACAAAGTCACATACACATGCATACACATAAATAGAAATAAATCTCTTTTTTTAAGTGTAGAAGTAGAAGTGCAAGGAACAGCAAAGCCTCAAATACCCATGCAATCAGGGCTCATCCAAAATATAGGACTGCAAGCAGCTAGGACATGGAATGAAGAGGCTCACCTAGCGTGGCAGCTCTCTGGGGCCAATGAGAGTGGTGAAGTGGGGACCTGCTCAGAGTGTGTTTCATCTGGTTGCTTCATACATAGCATTAGTGTTGGGATATGTCAAGCTAATGATTCTTCAGAACCATTAGTTTGGGGTTTTTCCTTCCCTAACAATTCATAAAATAACAGTACTTCCTGCAACCCGTGCAATCTTGGATGACAGGAGGGAGTGCTGAGTCTATTTATTTACCAAACCTACACGTTTAAGAGCGTAGCTTCATAAGAGAAAATGTTAAGGAAAATGCATTCACAACTTCACATCAGGGAAACAAAGCAGCTGCCCTATGTGCGTTCAGAGTGTCTGCATGACTTGGAATGTATATCACAGGCCTCTGGTGCATGAACCTTTATGGACTAGAACCCCAGAAAGTTCTCCATCTAGTCCTCCAGGGCTGTGTTGTCTCTTTCCAGAGCACAGCTCTCTACTGTGCTCCCTGTCTTTCCTTCCCTCCTCTTCCTCCTTTACTCCAATGCCGCCCCCGCAATGGGGACCCCTAAGAGATGTACAATGCCCCCTCATTGGAGGAGTACTCTGTTGCAGATTGGTGCAAGCTCCATAGGGTCTGGAACGAGCCCCCCCCCCGCCCCAGCTGCCCCATGCCCTTCTGCATGGCTCCTTCTGAACAGCAGATGAGTCACTGGGGGAATCTGTGACCAGAGTAAAAAGTTCCAGCCCCCCCCCCAACACACACAAACCATTGTCTTTCCAGTGTCGGGACCCAATTCTGTGTAAGCAAATGTGTGTATATACACATGCCTAGGCCTGAAATCCATGTGGACACACGTGTACTCACTCATACAGTTGGGAAACGCAACAGCACGTTAGACGAAAGGCTGAACCATCTAGAGACCCAGAGTCAGTGGGAATTGGAAGCAGAAAGTGATTATAGGATGTCCTCTGGGAGACCTCATGCCTCCCTGGGTGGAACACCACTGAGGCCAAGGGGACATTGTCCCAGTATGCAAAAGGTTTCTTTTCTGGCCCACACTATTGATCAAAGTTAAATTTAAATCTAATCACTGACCAAAACTGACAACTTCAAAACTTTTATATAAAGTGTGGATTACTTCCTTTGCAATGTTTGAGGCAAGAAGCAGTCTGGATCCAACTTCCCATAGGCTCTAACACCCTGTAGCCAGAACAAGCCCCACGTGGCTCCCTGTGTTCCACACCAAGCCAGCCTGGCTTTGGATGTTCCTGCTGCCCTTGGAAAGCCTGGGGAGTTCTGGTCCTGACCTCTGCCTCCCTGGACAAACCTCATTAAAAGTCACAGTAACCAATTTGAGGGATAGTGGACCCCTCTGAGTCAGCCACCTGTTCTGCCTGTGTGACAACCCATCTACGGCTTGGGTCATCCAACCCAGGCCTTGTGGGATCTCCATGTCTGTTACCAAAAACTGTACTCCAGGAACATAAACATGGAAGCTGGTCCCTCAAGTCTTTGGCAGGGCCCAGAGGACAGAGTGGACCTCGTGACCGGCCAGTTTAGTGACTGCTCGTGCAGAGCAGAGGCTGAGCCAGAGACTGACCTCTGGGCAATGCAGAAGTAGGTAGTTTCACCATGATGACATACCGAGAACAGATACTGAGCATTTCTGGAAAAGAAGAAGGAGGCTGCCCACGCTTCCTAATGGCCTTTGACCAAAAGTGGATGGAGTTGAATCAGGGTACCCTGAGCAGTGGGACTCCCTGGCACTAACTCAGCTATACCTTTCAGATCTAGACAGCTCTTGGCAGCTCAGGCTAGAATTTGCTCCAGGCCCTAGCCCAGAGCATTACACTCCCTAGAATCACAGACAATAAACCTTGGGCCAGGCTGCTCTTGAAGGGGCCCAGCTGGGCAATAGGCAGGTTTGGGCTGGAGAGAGGAACAGATATTCCCAGCCTAATACAAACCTGCCCTTGTTCCTCTGGGACAGGGCCAAAGTTGGCAGACTGTGGATCACGACCACTAGATTACATGCACAGGGTAGGAAGACAATGACCAGATTTCAAACTCCTTCCTGAGCCCTGAGTTTCAAGGTACTAGGCTGGCCCATGGGAGGAAGGCCACGAACCTCACACCACACTCTCAGCTTGGGAACAATATTTGCCACTTCTGGACCCCAAGAAGGTGAAAAATCTAGCTGTTGACTTCCAGAGCCCTTCCATGGGGAACATGCTCACTCCTGGCAGCGTGTAGTCCTCAACTCCAAAGTACAGCCCTCTGGACAGGTTCAAGAGAGAAGCCAAGCTGGTTAACTGGAGAAGCGGGTTTCTGGTGGAGCCTTTTGAGAGGGAACTTTGTGGTGATAAGAGAGCACCCTAACAGGCTGAGAGGGTGATGAGTTGATGATCACAAGGTCACCAGAGCCAAGGAACAAGGGCAAGGATGTAGTCTTTCTGAGGAAGGTGGACCTGGTAGTGCACAGGATGGATAAGCAAGGTGATTCCTGAAGGCCAGCAGTCTTGGCACTCCTGACATTGTGACAGGGAGTTCACAACCCTGAAACGCCAGCCCACATTGTATCTGTTCCTCAAGAACTGTACCCAATATTGGGGCCAGCCTGTTCCTTTATGCCTGGTGCTCCTGCCCCAACTGGGCTGGGACACAACAGCTGTTCCCTGAGGGGGATCCACCTTCCTCCACCATTGTGGAGAGGAGCTGGGCCAGAGGTACTCAGAGAAATAGCTGCTGAGCAGGGTGCATTGGGGTACAGGAAGTTTACCCTTTATCAGGGGCCTCGGACAAGTTATACTATCACATCCCTCTGCCCCAAGAATTGATGGGAGATAATTTACAGACTGTGTGCTGTGAGAATCCTCCCTCACTCCTGCCCAGGATCCTGATGGGGGCTCTGCCCTCTATCATCCTCCCACCCACAGGCCCTCCAGACCCTGGGACCTCCCAGCCGCTGCTCACCTGGCTGCTGCTGCCTCTGCTCCTCCTCCTAATCCTCCTCGCAGCCTACTTCTTCAGGTAGGAGTGTCCCCAGGCGCTGACGTGCCCTAACCAGCTCCTATGAGGAAATGAGTGTGCTGGAGGCTGGGGGTGTGGGCCCAAACAGCTCAGACACCAGCTGGCCGGCCTGAGCAGCACAAGGCTCAGCCATGAGCAGCAGAAAGAGCTTTTCCAGGCTTACCTGGTGGGTATCACTGTACTCAGGGTTTGGGGGTTCCTGCTGTGCAGAGACCTAATACATCTTATGCCTCTAAGGTTCAGGAAGCAGAGGAAAGCCGTGGTCAGCAGCAACGACAAGAAGATGCCCAACGGCATCCTGGAAGAGCAAGGTATTGTACACTGGGTCTTAATACTGACACTGAAAGGGACAGGAGTTCACAGCCCAGTCCGGCTGTTGCTTAAGCTTTCCTCTCTCTCCGGTTCCCCCTGGGTTTGTGCTACTGCTTGCTAGTAACTCAGAATGTCTCTGTATTTCGGAACTTGGTGTCAGAGGTCATTTTCCCTGTAAAAAAGAGCAAATGTCTGAGAGGTTTCAGTTTGTGGGTTTTTTTTTTTTTTTTAAAGAGACCACTCATATCCTGTCAGTTTAGCAGGGCTTTGCTATCAAACATTTCTCACTGAGGCCTTTGAAATCCTCCTGTGATAAAGCTCTAACTTGTAAAAAGAAGTGTTCAGTTGATGCTGTATTACCTCGGGATCAAGCTGGAAAGGACACTGCTCTGCCAAAGCTGCTCGCTCTTTTGAAAGAGCGGCAGTTAGGGGACATGCCGAACTTAGATTCCAGCTGTGTTCTAACTTGTAAATGCTGCTCTCAAAAGCTTGTTTTTCTTTCTGTGTTTCAATGGTAGACAAAGCAACGGTTTTAAACACACATGTTCTGACCGAGTGGGGTGGCACAGGCTTGTAATCTTAGCATTTGGAGGCACCTGCTGAGGCAGAAGCATCACAAGTTCAAGGCCGGCCTATGATCTTGCTTCAGATGACCACAGTATCTGGGGATGTAGTTCAGTGGCATGACACTTGGCCAGCATATGCCAAAGTCCCTGCTATGAAGTCCCCAGGGTGACAACTAAAAACCCCAAAGATTAGTTCATGCCTGTGGCTTCAGCTTTGTCATAACTTCCTACATAGCTGTGCCTGGCTTGAGGTAGCATGCATGTCATCCGAACTCAAGTGAAACTTTAGAACTCACTCAAGGTAGTGAGCCCCCAGAGCTGGGGAGAATGTGAGCAGCAGCGGACTCCACTGAGCTGTAGCATTGCAGGACTTGGGAGACCTGCACTCCATTATCCAGCCTGCTCTTCTCACTTCCCTGCACATCCCAGCAGCCAGTGCAGAGGGAAGAGTGCAGCTTGGAGGGACACAGAAGCCCACAGGCTTCTACCAGTTCCCCTGGCTGAAGCCAAAGGCTGCCTTGGAGCAAAGTCTGTGGCATAAACTCAGTGATCTCTGCAGATGGAGCAGGGCCTTTTGCAAGGGTAACAGCTGACTTATTCTACTGACTTTATCAATGTCAGCTCTCTCCCTGTGAAAAGAAACACCAATCCCTGCCACTCCTTGCACCTCATTCTGAGCTTGTGTAAGTGACTTGTCCAAGCCTCTCGGCCCAGAGCCCACCATTTGCAATGCCATCCTTTGCTGCCTCAAGGATGCTTGATTTCTCTGCATTGCAAGGTATGGGGTTTGAGGAAGCAGGCCTGTGTGTTGCCAAGAAGTGGAGGCTGCAAGACAGATATCCTGGCAGATTCCCATCCGTTCTAAGCTTATACCTAGAGCCCTGTGATTCCTCTTCCCTGGTCCCAAACCTGGATCCTTCAGCATGCAGCTGCAGTGACCCTTGTGTAAGAGCATGGGCTAGAGGGAAGGATGAGTGATGGGTGAGCTAGTGAGCAAGATCATAAATGCAGAATCTGTGATGGACAGGAATGCTGCCATCACTTGCTGAAAACAGGGTGTGTTGGGAAGCAGATGTTTGATTCAGTGGCTCAGGGCTGGATTAGCCCCCAGGGTGCGTGATTTGAGAGTACTGCTCCCCTCCCACTGTACAGATCCATCAGGAATGCTGTCAGACCATCTAGGGAATGAGTCACGCATGGGCAATGGAACTAAGTGGCTTCTCTGTTTCTCCTGACCCTACAGAGCAGCAGAGAGTGATGCTGCTGAGCAGGTCTCCATCAGGTCCCAAGAAGTACTTCCCCATCCCAGTGGAGCACCTGGAGGAGGAGATCCGTGTGAGATCAGCAGATGACTGCAAGCGCTTCCGTGAGGAGTTCAATGTGAGTACACCAGGTCTCAGCCAGCATGAGGAGCAGCAGGGCAGTCAGAGCCAGTAGTTCCAGGGACCCAGGGACCTTGTGCCAATTGTGATGCTGCTCAGACGTGGGGTCTGGAGAGCCTGCTCCTCAGTGCTGTGCCCTTCGCTGGTGTTCACCGCTCCTTGTGAAGTGAGATGGTTGAGTCTGATGCTCTGAGGGTTGCTGCCAGCTCAGTTATTGGGTAGCATGTGTAACACCAGTTGTGATAAACACACTATTCTACCATGTGCTGCCTAGTGCAGGTGGAAGTTTCATGCTGAAGGCTACAGAGAGCCTCCCACCAAGCATCTTGCCATGGTCCCCAAGACGTCCATCTTCTAGTCAAATCAGCCATTGTCCCTCCAGGCCACCATCATGGCACAGTTCAGTCGTTGTGGAGACTGTCTGCAGGGGACACTAGCCTATGTCCAGTGTGTAGGAGTCTCTGTTGTTTGTGATGAATAACTCCCACAATCTCTGAGGGGAAATGGCTCACTGAGACATGCCCCTGCCCACTAATAGTCCCCATAGTCATTCTCAGAACTCACAGTGCAGATCTGTCACCCCACCCCTAGAGATGTCCATTTCCTTTTTTTTCACTCTGATTTTTATTTTATGTGGATGTATGAGTACTTCACAGATGTATATGCACTGCATGAATCCGGTGCCAAAAGAGGCCATCAGATCGCCTAGAATTGCAGTTACAGGTGGTTGTGAGTCACCAAGTATGTTCTGAGGACAGAGCCCAGGTCCTCTAGAGCGGAAAGTGCTCTTAACCTCTCAGCCATCTTTCCAGCCCCTGAGTTGTTCATTTTTTTTAAAAAATGTCTGCCATATAGGTAGGCATGAAGCATTGCCATGGACACAAGGACCCATATTGTTGGTGCTTTGAAGCATTTTGGTCAAATCTTCACACTGTGTGCAAGGCTGGGAGCTGAATGTTGGGCCTGAGCAAGAGTGGGTGTCCATGGATGGCTGCATTGGCCTGACTCTGTCATAGCTGCTGTTCTACTCCAGGTCACTTCCACCACCATTAACAGTACCTGGGGATGGAGACTCGTTGACAGCACAGATGTAAGCCCCGGAGGATGAGCTTTTTGAAATAGTGCAGTGTGGTTGTTTCTAGAGGCGGTGTGGACAGTGAGGATAACCTGACTTTTCACACAGAGATGCCCGGAAGGACATGGGAAGGTGCTGGTGCGTTTAACCACTCTTCACTTACTTTTCAGCATTACACCCTCCCTTTTATCTTGCTTCCCTTTTTATTGCTGCCAAGGGTGTTTTCCTCTTTCTTTCTTTCTTTTCTTTTTTTTTTTAAATTAGATCACACTGAAAGACGGCACCAAGCACTGTTGTTTTGAAAATCTACAACTTAACAGCAGACGTTAATTCTCCATTTTCAAAATAGCTGGCCCTCACGTTGCTGGTAGAAGCTTGTCCTGCCCTGCTTATCCCACTTCCCCTTCCACTTTTGCTGGCATGGGTGCTGGGCCAGTGACTCTACTGTTAGTTGAGGGGAGGCTCTTACAGTAGGCCTGGAGCAGGCTGAGGCAGCTGAGGGACTTGGTTCAGGCTCAGAACTCGAGAGGACACAAAAAGCACAGTAGCTAAGGTATGCTGTGGCTTAGTAGCTTATTTAAAATATCAAAATGAGCAAAGTGATGGTGAATGAAACAGCTTGATCACAATCAAGAGAGAACAATGTCAATGTATTTCCCTGTGGCCTGGGCCTTCACTGTGACTTCTGTCATGTAGTTATGGATTCTACCATTGTTTAAAAGCTTGATGTTTTCACCACTATGAATTTTGAGCATTAAGTTAGCTTTTTAGAAAAGATGTTTCTGCCCTGATAAGATGGCTCAGTAGGTAAAGCAGAACAGGCCACCAAGCCTGACAACCTGAGTTCAATCCCTGAAATCCGAGTGGTGGGAGAAGAAGCCTGATTTGTACAAAGTGTCTTCTGACCTTCACACCCATGCCATGGGCATGTGTGAGTGCACACAGGCATGCACGAACAAATAATTGTAATCTAAAAAGCTTAAGAAGAAAGTGTATGATAGAAAAGATGTGGCCCCAGGGGCTCGTTTCTGCTGACTCTTGGCTTTTTCTAGAGCTTTGTAAATTTTATACCCACATAAATTCTTCCCTCTCCTGTCCCCTCCCAGCCTGCCTCTGTATAGCCCTCAACTGTGCAAAGCCCCCCCGCTCCCCCCCCCGGCATCCAGTAGCTCGAGATACAGTTGAGGGGTGGAATGAAAGCAACCTGGCTCCTCTCTCCAGCAAGAAACCAGCCCTGTCCAAGGCCACAACCCTGCGACATCTGTCTCCTGCCCAGATCAGCTGCTCCAGTTCTCAGAGAACATATTTAAGTCCTGTTTTCCAACTCCCTCCCTTTCTCCAGTCTGATGACCCCCTCCAAAGATCCTGGATGTTCCTGTATGGTTCAGTTAAATGTGAACCTGAGGCTAAGAAGGGGTCTGTGTGATGAATGCTGGAGCCGGCTTGCTTGCGTACTTGTCCTGGCCTGGAAGACTTGGGCTGTTTTCTTAACCCCTGCCTCAGTTTCCTTATCTGTGAAGGAGGGACTTTCCCTACCCTATAGGACTTTGATTACACGTAAACAAATAAGTAACAGGCAACATGCGGATGAGATGTTATCCGTCAGCTCCTCCCGGAGAGGACAGATCTCTATCCTGTTTCAAGTTCCTAAATTTGATTCTAGAATAGGAGGACCCTGTGCAGTGAAAACTCTTCTCCTTGTCCCAGCAAGCTGTGTCAAGCCACAGGCCTGGGACCTACGCTATGACAAATGCAGCAGAAATACATGCAAAAGAAGATGTGTATGTATGTATGTATGTATGTATGTATGTATGTACACACACACACACCATAACCACAAATGAGAGCCATCCTCTAGTGTTGATGGACAAACCAGAACACACAGAGGTTCACTGAAGACTAGCCATCTCCAGGTACTCTTGCTTCCCTGGGGCTACCAAGCAGCTGAGAACCCTGAGGTCCTGGGTAGCCAGACAGCAAGAAAACATAGTGGGCCCAGTCTGTTCAGGGAGCTGTTTAGCTTGCTTGGATCTGGAGGACACAGAATGCTTTGCCCAGTTCTGCCTACCTCCCCTAGTCCTGTCCTCCAGGAGCTTTCAGGGGAGAGAGGGCAGGCAAGGTACACCACCTCATCTCTACAACCCACCTCTCGAGGCCACACCGCTGTGGAAGGGAAGGGGTGGCCAGAGCCTGATTCCTCTTTCCACTCAGGCTTCCTTGGCCACTATGTTGCAGCTACTTTGTCTACCTTTGTTTTATCCAGTTTGTTGTTTGTTAGAGTGGTTTCAGGTACACAGAAAAATCACATACACACTGGAGAGTTCCTGTGTACCCCCTCTTCCATACAGCAGGTTACTCTGCCATGGCCCACCTGTGGGGGAAAGCCCCATATGTTACAATTAATAATCCCTGTTGGCGGTGTCATCCCTGAACTCCTAGGATCTGCTCATGCTGTGGGGTTTGCCAGCCGCACCGTTTCATGTGTTTTTGTGTCCTGGCCTAAAACCTCTTGGGAAGACCCTAGGATGTCATCATAAATACAGTGTCCAGTGAGGGCCAGGGAGGTAGTGTCAAGCCAGCTCTGGTGGTGAATCAGAGTTCAGGGAATATGAGTGTTCATAGCTGGGGACAAAGTTGAGAACACCCCATTGACATTACTGGGATGACCCCTGACTGGTCCCTCCACACTGGCCCAGGCAAAGCCTCTGCCTGTGTCTATGAGGTGTGGTGACCCCAGTGCAGAGTGGGGCGCAGGGTGGGAGTGCCCTACAGCATCCTGATGTAAGCGCTTTTGGAGAATTGAGTCAGTCACTGAAGAAGCTCCTGCCTGCTTCTTCAGGGAGGTTAGGGCCCTGAATGAAATGAGAGCAATCCCAGGACATCATGTCTGTCATCTGAGGCTGCTCTGTGAAGCCAGACCCCAACTCCCAGGGACATGGAATGGGACACAGAAAATAGGAAAGCTCACATGTGAGCAAGATAGTCCCTCCAGGTCTGAGGACAAGGGTCTACCTCTTCAGCTGAATGATACTGAGCTTATCTCCAACCACTCTTCCTTGATCTGGTTCCATGTCATCGGGATCATTGGCTAGTTGTGAGGTAGGCCATGCATTTTCTCTGTGCCTGATCCATCATAAACACTCAGTGAGTAGTAACATTTCTTCCTTAGAGCCCAGTGGTCCTAGGTCCAACCGGAGTCAGGTTTAATGTTGAAGGGTATGATTTGAAGTACACAGTGCTCTTCACCCTGGCTCATCTGTGTATGAAGAGGAACCCAGAAGCAAGCAAGAGACAGACAACTGGAGGCAACCAAAAATCAGAGGCAGGGTGGCTTCAGTGGTAGAAGGAACTAGAAACCCACATGTCCACTTCACTCCCAGATGTGGTGCTTCTCATGTTAGCATCTTGGCAAAGTGAAACTTCTGTTTCACACTGATACTCCTCCGATGGGGTACAGCGGTCATTTAAGGTGGTGTATCTTGAGCTTCAAAGAGCCTCAAGCTCTTAGCGACTGATTCTGGGGACTGGGGGTGGGAGCTGGGAGAATCAGCATTTCTAGGGAGCTTCTATGTCTGACCCTGCTGACCCAACCCAATCCACAGAGACATAGGAGTCCTAAGCAGGGTGAGGGCTGTGACTACAGTCCCTTTCCAGGATCCTGCTCCTCCTCTCCTGCAGCCCAGGCCAGGATCTCAGTGTCCTCTTCTTGGTAGTCTTTGCTCCTCTCTCTCCTGCATCACAACTCCTTTGGGATCAGTTCACCTGTACCCGAGGAGTCCCTTCCTGGGCTAAAACCTGTATGGACTGGGGCGTGGTAGGCTGTGGTGTGAGTGAGTTCCTGACCTCACAGAGTTTAGGATATAGCTCATTGTCTGCCCAGTGTCTAGTGTGGGGCCTGCAGAGAGATGTGGATGATGGGATGATGGGCTGATGGTAGTTTTAATTCCTGGGCTTGGTAGGGAAGCTGATGGGAACCTGGGTTTAGTTGTGTTGATATTCATTCTGCTCTCTGTTTCCTCCCAGTCATTGCCATCTGGACACATACAAGGAACGTTTGATCTAGCAAATAAAGAAGAAAACAGAGAAAAAAACAGATATCCCAACATTCTACCCAGTAAGACTTTGTTGTTGTTGTTGTTGTTGTTGTTGTTGTTTATTGTTTGTGTTTGCATGATCTGTGACATCCGGGTTACACTTGGCACTGATTTGCAGCTTGCTGGTGACCATGTGATCAGTGCTCGTCCCAGGGAATCTGGGACCACACTGTCTGAGGGCCTGTTTCCCTGCATGGGGTGTGGGCATCTTTGTTGCTATTGACCGCTCTGGTTGCTAAGCAAGCAAACAGGAAGCAAGCTGGGCAGGAATGCTCCTTACAAGCTTGGGCACCAATAGGGAAGGCCTCTTCTGCCAGATTCACTCCTGGACACCAGTCTAGGCCTGTTGGTGGCTTTGCACAGCACCTTCCTTCATATTCAGGGTTTGAAGAGACCAGGAACAAATCCCCAGTGTGCTCTATGGTCCAGAACCAAAGACCAAAATGGTAGAATGAAAAGCCCACATAGGTTTGGCACCCTTGAGAGAAGGCTTAGCAAACCTTATTGTAACTTCAGCAGCAAACAGAAACCATGAGCTGGGGAGTGTGGTTGCCAAGGAAGTCAGAGCAAGGGTGCAGGCTGCTGTGGGCTGGGCCTCTCACGGCCTGCCGTAGCTGGCTGAGCCTGGTCCTGAGGTGCCTGTCTCACTGCCAGGACAAACCCTGCATTTTCCTAGACACCTTTTCAAAAGCTGACCCAGGAGGGTTGCAATCCTAGTGCCAAGTCTGCAGGCCTCCCACACCTTCACCACAGCCTTATCCTTCAGGCCCACAGGACAACAGCCTCAAAGAGCTCCACAAAGCTCAGACTTGATTCCTGAACAGGGGCCTCTTACTGGTGCCAAAGGCCCTTGCTCTTGAGTAGAGCCCTGCGGGGTCAAGGAGCTGGCCACAGTCAGCTTTGGTGTGCTGTGTGTACAGGAGCTGTGACCTGTCCAATATGTGATCTAGATTTCTATCATTTTCTGGAGATAGCTCTTCCCCACTGTCCATGCACAAGGTTTATAAGTCATTTTTGTAAAGTCCACCATGATCCTAGGATCCAACTAAACCTAGAGTAATTGACTAATGGGCTTTAGTGTGTTGGAGCCAAGGGAGGAGGGGGTAATTGTGCCTCCAGACTGTGAGGGTTGCTTGTCCCAAGTTTAGACTCTGGATACAGTGACTTTACCGCTGGCTGGGTTGTGGAATCTGAGGAAGAAGGGGACCCATGCTGTGACTCAGTAGCTCAAAGACAAGAAAGGCCGAAGCTAGAGGGCATCTGTGCTCTTCAGAGTGAAAATCGAGGTATTCAAAGATCAGTATTGATTTCTGATTTAATGCTTCACCCTTCTTGATGAGCTTAATTTGTTCCTTGGTTTGGCCCTAGTGTTTTTGGGAGAAGGTTAAGCTGGATCCTAGGATTGTGATGGGCTTTACAGAAATCTCTTATAAACCTTGTGCTACCTCCTGAAAGTGCTGGAAATCTAGTCTAGGATCATATATTGGACAGGACACAGCTCCATATACCTCAGAGTCAAGGAAATTGAGGGCATCTTACCTAACTTTCTCTCTTAGTCATTAAACCTGCTGTCCCCTAAAACTATCACTCGAAGTCTTAACCAAGAATATGTCTGAGACAGGTGACAATTCACACTTGTAGTTTCAACAGTCTCCAGGCTGAAGCAGGAAGCTCTCCAGATAGAAGCCAGCCTGGGTTACAATGCAAATGAGACCCTGGTCAGAAAAGAAAATTTAAAAAGGAGAGAAGAAACAAGGATGGGAGGGAGAAAAGGTGAGAAAAGAAAGGAGACACACACAGACAGACAGACAGACAGACAGACAGACAGACAGACAGAGGAGTGCCAGTATCTTGTAAAAGTTCAAGGAAACCAAATGATGGCCAAGCTCCTGCAATAGGCATAGTCGGATGCTCAGCTCACCAAGGAGTCATCCTGGCACAGGCTGTGTGTCTTCCAAACTCTTCCTGCTGCGCACAACGCTGGGTTGCATTACAAAAGGAAACCAACCTGGCCTCTCTCCATGTGAAAGTGTGGCAGCTCTGTAAACATTCCCATTCAATGTCCCCCATAAGTTCCCTTGCTCCTGCCCCAGAGCGAGGGCCAACCTCAGCCTTCCCTTCCCAAGAGTAACACCTGACTTGGGGTGTTGATAGTTATCCAGGACTGTGGGTACATGATGTGTTTTGCAGGAGCAGTGAGCTGTTTGTTGTTTTCTGCGGCATGGAAACACCATGCCTGTCAAGGGCCAATAGTGTCATTCGGTTAAGGAGAGACATTTCTGGATATATGGAATGGTTGGTCCTGCTGGGGCAAGACAGTGAGCTCAATCTCATGGAGTCGGATTAGGATCTGTAAGGTGGGATGGGAGGACCCAATGCTCACAGCTCTAGGTGCCTCATGCCTTTGTTAGTCCACCCCAAGCCAGGGAAGACTTGCAGTAGATTCAAAGATGCCCATGGGCTGGAGTGCAGTGTTGGCCTTGGCCTGGGAATCCCAGAGGTGGAGTCAAATGCTCTGTGTCCAGAGGCTAAAATGGGGGGGGCCAGCTTGCTCTAGCCAGCAGCCTGATGGCCCTCTACTGGAAGGATGTCACTGGTGGTAATTTTAGAAAGAGATGTTTTGACAGCCAAGTGTGACTTTTCAGGATTAAGAAGCAGGAAGTGCTTAGAAGCTGTGAGAGTCTAAGTCCGTGCAGATGCTATTTTTTGTCTATGTTTCCGTAACTGTTCCACAGTGTAAGTCATTCTAAATTCTGTTCAGCTAGCGTGACATGTGCCGTGCCACAGCTGTTTCCCAAGGCCCTGAGCCCCTGAGCAGGAGTGTCTAGACGTGTGACCGTGGATTTGGGGGGCTTATCATCCTGCCCAGCATGCGTGGGCTAGTAACTGTCCCCAGAGTTGTGCCATCCCCTCCTCTGGCCAGAGCAGGACAGATGAAGCTCAGCAACGAACCTCAGCCAGGGAGTCTGGGATAACACACAGAGACCAGCCAACAGCCTAACATGGATAGCAGGCCACAGCAAAGCCCAAGTGAGCCTGGAACTCTCAATCCTCCTGCCTCGGCCTCCTCCGTGTTGGTGCTACAGCCCTTCCCACTTCAGCCATCCTTTTCACTATGTGCTGACACAGTGACAACGTTTCTATGGAAGAAAGGGTTGTGGAGGAACCTATGCCACAGCTCCCTGATGCACACATACATTACAGCAACACCCCACACCATATGTATAGCACGTCACATATACCACACAAATAGTCCACTACGACACATATCATACCACACACTCCACAACACACACGGTATATGCACATTGTGCCATATACCACACATAATAAACTCACAATCAGCATGGCCTACCATACAACACATACTTAGCACACTAAAGCGTGTACGTGCCACACATGTATAACACACAATACCTCAAAAAATACGCACACCACACAATACAGCACATATAACTCACAAAACATACACACCATCATACAGCATCATCCTTATATCATAGACACATCCTCAACACATATCATGTGTATATAACACACAACACACACACACACACACACACACACACACACACACACAACTCTGGCTGCCCTCCCACACTAGGAAACACTCCATTGAGCTATCTAGACTCTCCATAGTCAATGGTCCAACACGTACGAGCCCAGTTTCCTTCCAGCACTGGAGCAGATGGTGAAGAATGGGAGCCAGAGTTCAGAGTCCCAAACTCTTTACCCGCACATCCCCTGGAAAGCCTGAACAAAAAGACGTAATCCTTCATCCCAAGGTCCTGCTATGTGCCCCTCAGTTGTCAGCATTTGGGCCCATTGTGAGAACATGGTCACTTCACTCCCTGCAGTTCTGCCTGTGTGATCATGGGGCCATCTCTCCTCCCCCTTCCCCTGGCAGGAGCACCCACCCTGACCTCAAGGGGAGACCTGGTTATGTCCTTCCAATGATTGACACTTAGATAAAAGACACCCTGGGTCACTGTAGCTCCTCGTCCTAACGCCATGGGATTGTTTGTTTTTCCCAGATGATCATTCCAGAGTGATTTTGAGCCAAGTGGATGGAATCCCCTGCTCTGACTACATTAATGCTTCCTATATAGATGTAAGTTGACGCATTTCCTTTCCCCTAGCCTGACATAAAGCCAATGCTGGGTATTCAGGGGCTTGGTCTGAACCCTAATGTGTGGGTGTCTTCCTTGCTGATCCTGAGAATGTGTGTGTGGTCACCACCCTTCAGGCAGTTTGGTCACACTGAGAGTGTGAGGACATCACACTTTTCCAGCTTGTATCTTTACCAGAAGTCACAAAGATAACAGATCCTGGGGGATAATGACCACAGTAGACACTGGAGGTATTCAGTCAAGTTCCTTATGGTGCTGACAAACTAGAACCAGCCAGATGCCTCTGACTAGACAAACCACAATAGGTCACAGAATTAATTTAATTTTCTTTGAAATATCATTTAAAGTTTTAAATTTCTTACTTGAAATATAAAGAAATAAAAGGATTTTGTATACAATACATGGGCCCAATTAGAAATATAAACATGTGTATGTCTGCTTGCATGTGTGTAGGAAAACAATCAAACAAAAAACAATAGGCCATAGGAAAATAGTACCTGTCCTCTCTGAGGTTGCTGGTGGGTTTTGTTTTTGTATTATTCTTTCCTGTTGACTACATTCTGTGGGGTGAATCTACCCTCCCCTTCTATGAACAAGTGGTCCCCTGGGCAAAGATACTCCTGGATAATTACAAGTCTGACTTCATTTTCTAGGGCTACAAAGAAAAGAACAAATTCATAGCGGCTCAAGGTAAGCAGGCTCTTGATTTAGTTCATGTCTGTGCAGTATTTTTATAAAGTCATTGGACTGTCTAACTGCCAACAATACCAATGATCATACTGTTTTTTTGTGGGTGTGCACCACTGGCTCACTGGGTCAGACACCCATGCTGTGTGCCCCTCTGTGACTTCACAGCACACACAAGGGACCTCCAGTTGCCTTTCTGCCACCATAAGGCTCACATTCAGTAGATAATTTTGACTTCCCTCAGCTGTCTTAGCTCGGAGGCTCCTGCTTTGCTGGGAAGACGTGTTGGAGAGGCTTTTAGCTCAAGGTTATAGCCATCATGGCTCAACCACAGAATCATATCCTTACCCTTGGACCCAGTTCCACCCTGTGCTTAGAGAACCTGCTGGAGGCTGTCTTTCCAGGAGGGTTCAGCAATTCCCCAGGTATCAGTGAAGCTGAAACTAGACTTCCCCTCCCCCTCTTCTTAGGCCTGATTCCCTAGAAATAGAAGTACTCGTTACACTCAGGGGACCATGCCCTCTGTAAATGAGAGGAAATCTGTCAAACGTTGGTGGAAACGTAAAAAGGGTCTGCATTTCTGTCATGAGCACCGGCTTGCCAAGGAAAGATTTCTTAACTCCCTGCCCCCTCCTCTTGAGCATAGAACTCTTAGCCTCGGGATTGCAAAATAGTTGTTATACCCCTAGGCACTGTGTCATATTCAGACAGGAAGTGGACAAAGGGCAGAGGTGTTTCTTCTTTTTCCTGTGCTCTATCCCTCTCCTTCCCGCCTCCTCAAGCATACAAACTCACTCACACACATTTGCATTCCCATTCATCTGGAGGGGGCTGTGACTCTGGGGGATTCAAGTGTGTGGTAGCCCCCAGCTACTATGACAAGCAGAGCCGAGATGGCCCTCAAACATCTGCCTGTGCTCTCCCTTTTTGGCCTGGGAGTCAACATAGTCACCCAGACTCTGGCTGGCTGGCTGGCTATACGGTAAGCTTCCAGGTTGCAGGGCCTGTCTTGTGCCTGGGGAAGGTATGAACCTTCCATGGAATTCATGGGGTGAGCTTAGATGGCTCCTCCATGCTGATGCTCACCCTCCCTTCTGCACTCAGGCCCTAAACAGGAGACAGTGAATGACTTCTGGAGGATGATCTGGGAACAGAAGTCAGCCACCATTGTCATGTTGACGAATCTGAAGGAGAGGAAGGAGGTGAGCTCTCTCCTGCACTGACCCTATAGCCTGGCACTCACCAGGGAGGCCCTGACCACTTCTTCTGCCTGGGCACCTCTCTTCTATCAGTGGGGGGCAAACAGCACTCTTCCAGCACCCTATCTTTTTTTTAATTTGAAACAAGTTTCTTTTACACGTCAATCCCACTTCCCTCTCCCTCCCCTCCTCCCCTCACCCCCTGCCCTCTCCGACCCCCATCCCATCCCCTTTCTGCTCCCCAGGGAGGGTGAGGCCTTCCATGGGGGATCTTCAAAAATCTGTCACAGCATTTGGAGCAGGGCCTAGACTCTCTCCCTAGGCTGAGAGAGTATCCCTATATGTGGATTGAGCTCCCAAAATCCATTCCTGTACTAGGGATAAATACTGATCCACTATCAGAGGCCCCATAGATTAACCTGACCTCCGAACTGACATCCTCATTCAGGGGTCTGGAACAGTCCTATGCTGGTTTCCCAGCTATCAATCTGGGTCAGCTGTTTCTGTGGGTTTCTCTAGCCTGGTCTTGACCCCATTGCTTATCACTCCTCCCTTTCTGTATCGGGATTCCAGAGTTTGGGTATGTTGTGTTTTCATTCTTACTGAATTCTAGGAAGTCTTTAATTTATTTTTTATTCTTCTTTGACCCAGGAATTATGCAATTGTACATTGTTCAATTTCCATGAGTTTGTAGATTTTCTGCAATTTTTT